AGGAGCCCCCAACCCCAGCATCCCCCCCACCCCAGCAGCCCTCTACCCGGCAGCTCCCATGGGGTCCATACTCCTCACTGATTTTTGTCTGTCTGTCCCTAGCCTGAGTAAGCCTGGGGGCGGGGGGTAGTTTATGAAGGATTGTTCATTCACATTTGTTTCAAAATTACAAATAAAATTGTTCATAGATTTCTTGGGGTGCAGAGGACCATGGTCTGGTCCCCACCCTGATCCTCCTCCAACTTAACTCTAGATTATATATAGCCTGACCCTGGGCTACCCTATTCCCCATTACCAGTTTCTGTCCTATGGGGACCGCACCCTCATAATGGGCCTGGACGCAGTTGTAGTCATCTGAATAGGAACAGGGCAGGAACCAGGGGGGGCGTAGGTCAGCTGGCAGCACATTCAGGATGAGGGTCGCGGTGGCTGTGTGGCTGGACTCTGTGAGCACTTCCCAAGTATCCTGTAACAGCAGACCCCTGCCAGATCAGGCCAGGAGTGACTTGGACAGGGCTGGAACACCCAGGAAGGGGTAAGTGATCTGCTCACCCGCACTAGCAGCTGAAAGGTCATGTTCTGATTCTTGTAGAAATCCAGGGTCCGGTTCAGCATCAGGGCAGGTTGATTTGGCCCCATCAGGTAAAAGAAACTGCTGGCATCCTGGAGAGGGAGGGCACAACCTGAGACCCTGAGTATGGGGGAGAGGAACCCAGGACTAGAAACATCTGAAGCATTAGAAGCAAGGGGTCAGTGATAAGCAGGGGCTGGGGCAGAACTGACGGGAGTCATTTCCTGGAGAGTGTAAAACAGGACATCATTTTTGTCAGGATCTGTGGCCCGCAGTCCTTCCTCAGTGATGACAGTTGTACCCACTCTGGTGTCCTGGGAATGGAGAGGAGATTGGTCTGACCATGCTGTGGCCTCTGTGTACAGAGCTTGATGATGGACCCCCCCACACACACACACACTAACCATCTGGAATCCCGCCTTTCCTATCATACTCAAATGGCACCAGCTCTGGCCCTGCTGGACTCACCTCTGTCACGTTACATTCCTTGACTTCAAAGGGGAACTCTGGTTCATTGTCATTGACATCCAGGACCGATACGAACACCACCAGCTGTGTCACCTACAAGGGAGTCACCAGCCTATGGTTTTTGCCCCACAGTCGCCCCCCTGGCTGAGGAGCTGTGCTCTGATGCCCCATCTATTGTTGCTTCTGTCACCAGCTCATTCACTCATTCTTTCACTCCCTCGCTCACAGGGATCAGGCCCACAGTGGGTGGCCTTGTAGGCTCTTCTCCTAGGAGGGACTCAGACAATTTATTTTTATTTCTATGTGTATGTGTGTTTCACCTTCATGTGTGTAAGTGCACCCATATCCTGCAATGCTCACAGAGGCCAGAAGAGGGCACTGGATCCCCTAGAACTGGAGTTATGGGTGGTTGTTAGTCACTGTGTGGATGCTGGGAATTGAACCCAGGTCCTCTGCAAGAGCGGCCAGTGCTCTCAACAGCTGAGCCATCTCTCCAGCCCCGGACTTAGACTGTTTTTTTTTTTTAAGTTTTTGAGTATGACAGAATGTGGCAAGTACTCTGGAGAGAAATAACAGAAATCTCAAATGAGTAAAACTAAACAATCACATCTTCAAAAACAGGTCCTCAGTCAGTCAGGTGGGTGGTGCATGCCTTTAATTCCCAGTCATTCTCTGCCTCTGTCTCTCTCTGTCTCTCTCTGTCTCTATCTGCATCTGTCTTTGTGTGTGTGTGTGTGTGTGTGTGTGAGAGAGAGAGAGAGAGAGAGAGAGAGAGAGACAGAGACAGAGACAGAGACAGAGACAGAGATGTGCTGAGTGTGGAACCCAGGGCGTCCTCCATGCCAGGCAGGTGTTCTACCACTAGGCTACACCTGGAAAAGAAGGGCTTTTATCTAGTAGAGACATGAGCTGGGGCTGGGAGGCACCAACTTTTCCTCTGCATCTTTGCAGTCTGCTCTGTGAGCCAGAATTTTGTCCAGGTGGAGGAGAATGTGGATGTTACTGACCCCCTGGTGAACATTTCAGTCCCTGAGGGTCAGCAGGTGACCCTGGGATCCTCGTCCACTCCCTCTGCCTTTCGGATCCTAGAGAATCAACTGTTTCTCAACGTGACTCCGGATTATGAGGTGCATGACATATATGTACATGACATGCCATGGTACAGGATAGCGGTGCAGGGCATGAGGGTTGCTCATGGTAGAAGTGGGCGTGTAGAGGGCCCATTATTTCTGCAAGCTTCTTTAGTAAATAGCTGAAGCAGGCTGGGGCCTAGGACGTGTGGGGTGGGGTAGAGGGGTTGTTGAGTCCCTCTGAGGAGGCAAGAGGAATGTGCAGGCCAGGCCAGCCTTCCCCACCCAGCCATAAATTTGGTTTGAATTCCAGTAAGGAATTATGGAAGTCCTTCGTGGAGCTAGCAGAGTTTGGGTTATGAGGACCTCTGGAGATTCACCACATGGCAGTGAGGATTGGAGATGTGGGGGTGTGTATGGAGAAACATGGGAGAAGAGCAGGGGAACCTGATGGAAAGTTCCAGAAAGGAGATGCTGTTGACTAAGACCCTAGTGGAACTAGGCGTTAGAAGGGTGGGTCTGGCTCTACCTGAAGCACAGCCAACAGATTTGCCCACAGGGGAACTTAGGTGAGGTGAGAATCAAGGTGGGCTAAGTGGCAGGTAAAGATGCCTCTCAGGTGTGGTAAGGGGTCAGAGGATGTCTCAGGTATTGAGACAGATATCACTGAGTCAGCTGGGTTTGAGTCTGGAGCACAGGGCAGAGTCTGGGCTGGAGGAAGGGTGGGTGTGGCCAATAGAAGGCTGATGTTCTGGACTTCCCAGGGTAAGCTCATGGAAGAGTGGTTTTGGGGTACTCTGGCAGGAGGGAAAGGTGGACAGGGTGGTGGGGTGGACTCACCAAAATACTGTCTCTCTTGCACTCCACGTATGCCTGCAGCACTGAGTTTTCCTGGAGAGACAGCCAGGAACCCTGTCAATCACCTGCCCCACAGGGGAGGCACAATGCCCCAGCCTAGGAGAGTGTCTGGGAGGGTGGGTGTTTCTTTAGGGTTCCTGTTACCAGCGGTAAATCCTGGGTGTGGGGGACATCTGGAAGCTTTGTTTCCTGGTGGCCCCTACCCCTCAATGCCAACCAACCAGACACTAAACCTGAAGGGTTCCTCGATGCTTAGGGGAACATAACCCTTAATCCCTTCTCCCCTGAATCTTTTCCAGGAAAATGGAATTGGTACCTGTGTGTGTTCCCTGGGGGTACACCCCCACCCAGCCTGCTGTCTGTACCTCATAATCCGGAGTCACGTTGAGAAACAGTTGATTCTCTAGGATCCGAAAGGCAGAGGGAGTGGACGAGGATCCCAGGGTCACCTGCTGACCCTCAGGGACTGAAATGTTCACCAGGGGGTCAGTAACATCCACATTCTCCTTCACCTGGACAAAATTCTGGCTCACAGAGCAGACTGCAAAGATGCAGAGGAAAAGTTGGTGCCTCCCGGCCCCAGCCTCGCCAGCCACCTCCCCCTACCCCATCCAGCACATACCCTGGGTCTGGGCCCGGACCAGGCTCCTCGGAGGTTGGCTAAACAACACAATGAGTAGTGGCAACAGCAGGACAGGCCACAGCAGGGCCGGAGCCCTCATGGTGGCGGCTCTCACCCAGCAAGAGGGCCCAGCCTTCTCGGCGTCCAGAGCCGGTGCAGTTCCTGCCTTGACGACCTTCGCCCCTGGCTGGCACCGCCCCACTTTATGACCCTTTACAACTGAACTCTACCAAGGGGGCTCCCGCTGGCCGGCACTAGGAGAGGATATGAGGTCATCTTTCAGCCCGGGCTTCCAGGAGTTAACTGGGGGCTCAATCCCTAGACACCAAACGTAGGGTATAGAGAATTTGAGAACCACTGGGCAGGGAGAAAAGGACTGGGGAAGCTGGGGCAGGGTTGGGGCCTGGAACCATAGATCTGGGAGGACTGGGATAGGATGGGGGGGCTGGAACAATAGGTATGGGGGAACCAGGGCAGGACTAGGGAGCTGGGGCAGGGGACTGGGAGGCTGGGGGACTCAGGCAGGGCTGGGGCAGGGTTAGGGCCTGGAACCATAGATCTGGCAGATCCAGGGCAAGACTTGGGAGCTGGGTTAGGGCTAGGGGGCTGGGGAGGTAAGGCAGGGCTGGAGGACTGGGGCAGAGCTGGGGGCTGACACCATAGGTCTCAGGAAGCTGGGACAGGGGTGAGGGGAACTGGAGTAGGATTAAAGCAGGTCTGGGGGCTGTGGTGGGACTGGAGCAGTTGGGGTAGGACTGGGGTAGTGAGGCAGGGCTTGGGGAGCTAGGGCATGACTGAAAGAGCTCGAGTAGGGCTGGGGAGAACTGGAGTAAGGGTGACCTGAGTGGGATGTGGGGGAGCTGTGGCAGGACTGAAGAGAGCTGGGACAGAGCTAGGAGGCAAGACCAGTGATCATATGTTTGGAGACATAGAGGGCTAGGGCAAGGCTCAGGGGCTGGGGAACTAGGGCAGGAGTGTGGTGGGGGCTCAGCCCTTGGTCTTGATCTACAGTAACCCACTCCAGAATGACCTTCATCTTGGCTCCTTTCCTAGGCTGTCCTTAAGCATATTTCCTAAGGCCACTTTGCAAGTCACCTTCCTTCCCTGCTCCAGTCCCAAAGGAAAAGGCTGTGTCCCAGGGGGCTCCTGCCCACTCCATGGAATAACAGCTCTCTTGGGGTAGGGCCTGACAGGGTCTTGGTGATGGGACACAGATGGATACCCTTCAGGTGCAGTAGGGAGCTGGGGTGGGAGAAACCAGTATCTGATAGAAGGCAGGAATCCCGGTGAGGGCCATCAGCCCAGGCCCTTATCATCCTTGCTTCCCGACCCTGCTCCCTACAAGCCCTTAGAGCTGGGAAGAGGCTCCTGGGTGGGGCCAGGAACATCCTCCTGGTAAGTGGCGTGTGATGAAAGGGCCTGCAGGGTCCTCCCCACTCTGGGCCTTTGCTGGACTGTTTTGGATTCCTGAAAATCTTCCTGAGCCTCCAGGCCTCATCAGTCTGTTCCCTGACCCCTCAGTGCACCCACAGCTGCCCACTAGGTGACATCACTGCTGAGGCTTCAGGGCTGGACTGAGACCACATGGATATGTAGAGCCAGGGTGTTCCCACTCCTGAGTTGAGCACTCCCTGCCCTGCATAAACCTTTTGACCCCTCTATGACACTGACCACATGGCCCCAGGGCTAGGAAAGGAGGGCAGGGGATTTCCCTGAGCCCTGGAAAGTTTGCTAAGCGGATCATAGGACAGGGTGGCACACTAGGAAAAAGAAGATGGATGTCTCCATGCCAGAGATCAGGAAGATGTGTCTCAGCTGGCCTCCCAGGTTCAAAGGGCAGCTGGGTGTGGTCCCAACCATTGAATGGGGTGGACGGGTCAGTCCCCACCTGCCAGCCTCACTGAGCAGGGGCTGCCTCGACTTTATCAGATGTCACACATCATGGGCTCAAAGAGGCCAGGGTTTAAATTCCTCCTTTATTAATGCCAAAGGCAGCCCATACACTACTCCAGCCAGGCTCCTGGAGGGCTCCTCCTGCCCCCCTTATATGGGTTGCCTGGTTGCTTCAGTCCACTCTGAAACTTCCACAGCAGGCCTTGGTCCCGGAGGCAACCAGGGAGACCAGGCCCCATCCAGAGGGAACATGGGGGGCAGCCTGTAGAGATAGATGGTTAGAGGGCTAGGGGCTGACCACCAGAGCACTCCCACCACATGGGTGAAATCGACAGGCCTACCACAAGCCCCAGGGAACAGGAAGGATATTTCAGAACTCCAGCTGAGGGTGGGGTGCTTACCAGGCCTGTAGGGCCAATGGGTTAGACCACAGCAAGCAGAGCTGGCCCTCTGTGGGCTTGGACCCGGCCGAGCTGTTCTCTGGGCTGTTTTCTGTGTCCTGTTCGCTGCTCCCCACCCCAAATTAGAATTAGTCTTGGTTTGGGGGTGTGGCATGGTTCTGATGAGGCACCGTGCCAGGTCTGTCCCACCACCCACAGGTCTGGAGACTGCCCACCCCGGCTCACCTGCGCTTCCCTACCAGGCCCTGCAGCAGGCGCTGCAGTCTGGCGCGGTCCTGCAGGCGGCTGAGCTCGCTGGTGAACGTCCCATCGGAGTGTCTTGGGGTCCTGGGGAGGGGCGGGACCTGGAGGGTCAGGGTGGGGGGTGGGGGCGTGGCCGCGGCGAGGGGTCTCCGGGACCGGCTCACCTGGGGGGTGCGGGGAGCGCGGCGGAGCTCTGGAGCAGCAGCAGCGGCAGCAGCAGCAGGTGCGGCGGGGGCACCATGGCGGGGTACTGGGCGTCCTGAGCGCGGGCAGAGAAGGCCGGAGCCCCGCGCAGCTTTATACCTGCCCCGGCGGCCGGCGAGGGGCTCCGGCACCGCCCCGGCTCCGCACGGCGGCCGCGCCCCATCGATCGCGGGAAGGTCAGGGCCGCCCGCCCAGCTGTCGTCCGGCCACCTCCTGTCCGTACCGCCGCCTTGGCGCCCCTCAGCTCTGGGGGCGGGGGGAGGGTTAGTGCCATCAGGTGCACTGATGACCGGGGACACCTCGAGCAGGGACGGGGACAGGGAAAGGGGATCGCAGAAAGCGCAGGCAGAGGGGCGGGCACCGGGGCCTCAGCACCTGGGGGGCCTAGACCAAGACCCTGGCGCACCCCCTCTGCAAGAGGTGCGGGTGACTCCCAGGGGCCAAGGACGGGCAGGTGGACCTCTGAGGGGTGTGTGGTGTGTGTGGGGGTGTGGTGTGTGTGTGGGGTGTGTGTGTGAGTGTGGTGTGTGTGGTATGTGTGTGAGTGTGGTGTGTGTGTGGTGTGTGTGTGTGGGGTGTGTGTGGGGTGTGTGTGTGAGTGTGGTGTGTGTGTGTGTGTGTGGTGTGTGTGTGGTATGTGTGTTGTGTGTGTGTTGTGTGTGTGGGGTGTGTGTGGGGTATGTATGTGTTGTGTGTGTGGGGTGTGTGGGGGGTATTTATGTGTTGTGTGTGTGTT